AATGTTTGTGACTGCGCGATAACCCTGTTATAAGACTTGTCTTCGGCGTGTGCCGCTCTCTGCACATTAGCTTTTCTTCCACTGCGTGGCACGTCCCAGCAATCCACGCTCCTCAAATTCCTTGCTCATCCCACTGCAGGGCCCAAGTACGCAGTGCAACACGCAGCATGTCAAACCAATTACGATCCAAATCCCGATTCAAATCTCCTCCGCCCACTCCGCGGACGGTAGCAGATAGGCTGCTTCGCTCGCTCAAAGAGCTTGGATGGCCTGTAGTGTGGGCTTTGGAAGACATGCTTCACGACATGTCTACTCTCCACCGGATTCTCTTCTGCTATTTGGGGGTAGTGACCATGGTTGTTGAATGGCTGCGACTGGACCGTGCAGACACCCTTCTCTCTATCTCGCTGGGAGTGGTCAAGCTGGCCGTTGTAGTCGACTGCATCTTGGTCGTCACGCATCATCTGACGCGTCTGTCGGCATCGAACCGGATGCTGGCGATCGTGGTATACCAAATGCCCTTCGTTACTGGGCCGCTCTCGGAGTTTGAGCTTACCAGGCTGATGCTCACAGACAATGCGACGTCGGCGGCGAACACCTTCCTGGTTGGATGTGTGTATGTGAAGCCTCTGGTAGCAGGCGCACTTTGCCTTGCCCTCCATGGCCTGCACACTGGAGGGTCCGGGATGCAGCGACAAGCTACCGATCTGTTGGATGTATCCAAAGTCTTTCTACGGAGTGGGCCCTTGATGGTACTGTCCACATACGGACTGGGGCTTGAGTCGCTGCCGATGCTCACAGCTGCTGCGGGAGACAGCCCGTGGCTGTCCCGGGGGGTTCCTGTCCTCCTCCTCCTATCCATCGGCTTCACCTGCTACTTCTGGTACTGGCATACTGACAAGTACCGTACCATCGCAAGCAAGAAGTACAACACTTGCAACGACAGTGAATGGGTGGTGCTGCTAGTCTGCTTGGTGGCGCTCAAGGTAGGAGCCGCTCGTCTGGTGCACAGCGTCTGGAACCAGATGCAAGCCATTGCATGGACAGCGGGCCAAGACAGTACTTGGGAGGCCAGCGGCGCTGTGGTCCAGTTTGCTGTCCTTCCGCTTGCGGTGACGGCCGTGGACCACCTCGCAGACATCAGCGCTGCCTATCGAGGGGACATTGATTGGCCGTGGGCGAGTCTCTGTCAGTCCACACTGCAGACGTTTTTTTTCATCAGGCCGCTGTTCACACTCGTGGGCCATAACCTGGACCCTCGGAGCGGTCGCATCGGCATCGCACTGTGCTTTCTCGGCATTGCCTTGTGGCTGTCGCTGCCGGCTCTCTCACGTAGGTTCTCTCTACACGACACGCGCAATAGGGTAGCTGACACTCACAGGATTGCTCAAAGGCTCTGTTTTGCTTCTCGCCTACTCGGCAGTGTTGGCCGTCTGTGTAGTCCAGCCAGACTTTTTTGAGGCATATGTGTTGTAGTATGGGTTGGCGTAGGCACGAGGAACCATCAGAACGCGAAAAGAGCACTAGCGGAAGATAGTATGGGACCCAGGACGAAGCAGTAGACAGCGCCTAACGCACACCTAGTCTTTCTCACTTCTTGCCGTCATTTCAGCTGTCATAATGGAGAGAAACAGCATCTTGTTACTGCACATTCTGCTATGATATTCCAATCTGTACCTGCACGTAGACCCATGCTCACACCCGTTGCTGGCGTCCCCGAAGCATCGCCAGCTTCGTCGCACCGAGGGCAGGCGCTTTGTAGCTATCAATCCAACTCGCACATCCTCACCTCTATGTGCCTCACGTGCCCTCGTCTTTTCGTGTACCCGCCGTCTCCGTGCAGTCCCAAACAGGCCCTCCTTTCAGGAGAGCATAACCATCCTCGAACGGACTTGTGCACTCTGCCATTGTCGGCGAGTTCCACGAGCGGCTCGCCGACGTGCTTGAAGACGGTTGCACGGCGAGGCCGCCATGGCTGTGCGCCGGCGCTCGGTAGTCACTTCCACCTGCGGGCGCTATCTCGTCCTGGCCCTGTTGTTCGAGCGGTGCGAGACGGGAGTCATGGCATGTCGTGCGCCGCTCCGTACGAGCAGATTCTGGACCACGAGACTGCGCTTGCTCTCTGCGTTCTCTGTCACGCTCACCTACGGCAGCGTGAGCATTGCGACATTTCCACAGGTTTCGGGACCTACGGCGCTTGCGTTGGGAGATGCGGTTCTGTTTCCTGCGGCGTTCCAACCGCTCCATCATTGTCTCTGCAGATTGCTCGAGCGCCGCCCGGTCCGTCATGGTAGGCTACTGATTTCGCAAGACTGTTAAGGTGAGTGCGCTTACTCGACACATTGCACCCTCTTTAGCTCCATGTCTGTCTTTCTACCATGGCTCTTGAGCGCGATCGTGCTGACGATCTGCTTTGCATCACAGTCAGCACGTGGAATGCCAGCGTACCGGTCTTCCAGCCCTAAGCTCATGGCATTCCTCGGCACTGGTATTCCAGGGCAGGGAATACCAGCGGCCTGGTATTCCATGGGCTATGCTTATGGGCATGACACTGTCAGTCCGTAAGACGTCATGACAGGTCTTGTCGGCGAATCGGCCACCCGAGCACGGTGCTTACAGCGTGAGCAGTCTGCATTCTGCCCAGTTTCAGCCTCTATGGAGGATATGCATTATGCTCTACGGAAGCTCTATCTGAGTGAAGGTGGTGCGTAGGCTGAAGTCGCCGCGCTATACTCGACTGCCCACAAACGCCGCCAGGATGGCAGCCAAGAACGTCGCCAGACTACGCTTACGCCCTTCGCTGGTCCGCGAGGGCTGGCTAGCGCTCCCGCCCACGACGAGCGCGGGCGATGCATCGGCTACGTAGGGTGTACTCTCTTGCCTACGCGGGCGGCTGCCCTTGAGTTGGACGAGCTTGTGAGAGCGCCTCGCACCGTTTCCGGTCCGCCCACCTTGCCTGGAAGCTTCACGCAGCCTAGTTTTGTGCCAGACGGGGTAGCGTCTGTCGCTTCGGCAGCGATGGCGACGATAGACAGTCTCTTTAGGATCCTTGCGCGCGCGAAGCACTGCGCCCAACGCAGCGCAGAGCGTCTCGACAACCTGATGTGTCGCCAGTGAGCCTGAGCAACCCGCAGTAACATCTAGCCATGCACGAACCTGTTTGCGAGACACCGCAGGCCGCGATGTCGATCGGGAGCACTGCTTCATAACTGCAATGGCACGCTACAGTAGGGTAAGACTGAGAGCGCATCTCGCGTCGTCTAGAAGAGGCCTTTGCTTACCAGAACGTGCCGAACAAGAGCTCGTCGTCCCGCCATGGCCGCGAGGTGCAAAGCTTTGTGACGGCGCGCAGGTGATGGCTGTGGGGAGGACCAAGCTAGCGCGGACGACAGCGTGCAGGCCGAGATGGGAAGTGCGCTGGAGACAGAGGGAAACGATGGGCAATGTACCTTTGCACCGCTCGTCAGGACGTGCCCCTCTCCTTACGCTCACGATCACGCGGCTATGCGACGTGTAATCGAATGCACGAGCAAAGGGAGCAGCACCTGTCATTCATGGTCAGCAGCATCCTCGATACTGCTGCAGACATCAGGCCGAGTTCGACGACGCATAAGCTCGTTGCGTGTCGAGCGAGCGCGGCATGTACGGTGGAGCGGTCACCGAACACCCACTTTTCCAAGTCACCGAAAGGTCGATATCTATCGATTTTTCATCAAAACACGACTCCAATGCCTTCTTAAATCTTTTTCCCAACGTCCTCTCTCCGCTGCCGGCGTTGTGGTAGGTGCGCTGCCTTCTTTTGTCTTTCAGCTCACAGGGAGCTGAAATCTTTTCAAAATGGCCCGTGCGCTACTTGGATTTTCACGTTCGGTCGAAGGCCACAACCACCACCACCAAGACAAGGAGACAGCCTTGACATTCCTTGTTCTTGCCATATAAGGGTATTGCCAGGCTGGATGCAAGGCTCTCCATGCGAAGAGCTACGGCACAATCCGACAGAGCACCAACTCTCAACACGCAAACAAGGCAGCCAGCATGGCCTTCTATCTTACAACTCTTGGGGATAAAGAAGAAGGACAGGCCTGACTCTGCCTTCCTACTACACCTATCTCTTCAGACACAGGCATGGCCAAGCCTAGTACAAAGGCTCTCCTCGCGCAGAGCCACAACTTGGATTCGACAGAGCACCGGCTCTCCACATCCGTCGCTCTTTCCTACTCCTTCTCTTATGGCAGCGAACTGCCTTCGAACACAAGGGATCCATCTTAATGTGTACATACACTGCTTAGTCTCCCCAGCCGAAAGGGGAGCTGTAGCTTGAAATGGTAGCAATACCTGCGCAGGTAAGAAATGCTTTCTAAGGTAGTGTGTGAGCACTGTAATTTTATAGCTTAGCACGTCCTATATGCCCTTCGGGAGGCGAGATGGTGGACTTACTCCCCATCAAACAGACGTAAAATGAATACCAACCAACCAACCAACCCACCAACTACGGTGGAGCGGTGCGTGTGGGTTGAGTACCACCATCCTAGACGACTGTGAGCCATGTACGAACGGCAAATCGACTGCCGGATGGATATCCACCTGTAGTAGTGCCTTTACACGAGTTGCTTCCCACCGTGCTCTTGACCATTGCCGTCGCGCTTGGCCTGTCTCTTGCTATCGCGCCGCTTCGATGGCGACACAGGGCAGTATTCGAGCGCTCCTCCAAGCCATTGTGTTGCTATTCCTCCTGACGCTGTTCACTCTCGCAGCTCATCTTCTCCAGCACTGGTGTGGCATCTCTCGGGAAAGGCCTCCCCCTCCTTCAACACGCCGCAGTGCTCGTCTCCCCTGTTCTATCCTCTGGCTCGCAGCGCGTAACGGAGCCTGGCGATGTGTCTGCGGTCATCCCAACGGACCCAATCCCGACGACGCCTCGGGGCGGTTCCAACACCACGCTCCTCATCGAGACACCTCTGCATCCGATCATGAGCCCGGGGGATCGCGCATACCCGCGTCTTGTGTGCCCGCAACCGAACCTCGACCGCTATGCCTACCTGAAGCGTTCGTACTCGACCTCGTCCTACGTCCTGAGCAGTACAACCCAAACAACACCGTAATTTTCTCCAACGACGCTGCTCTGTGCATGGAGGATCTTCTAGAGCTCATCCATCAGCGTACGCTACAGGGCGCCGATCAGACATGCGCCATGGACTGGACGTACGTCGGTGACCATCCGACGTTCTACGATGTGTGGATCGCGCGCGGCATGACGGGCGACCCGTTCTTCGAGATTCCTGCGAGCGGAAGCGGGGACCGTGCGTGGGATCTGTTTTGGAACGACCGGAATGCCAAAGCGCGGTGGGCCAGCTGGAAACCGTTTCAGGTGTTCGCGTGGGGTACAGCGACGACGCGACGATGAGAATCAAGGCCCTCAAAGGCTATACCTCGTTGCATGCTGCGCGCGAAAGCGATGATACTCTGATTGACTGGGATACCCTACCGCCAGAGAAGGTGAAAGGCATGCCGAACTATCAGCAGCAGTCCTTTGTCGCTTGGGATGAGGGCCTGGCGCACTGATACATGCGGCTGCGGGGGGTGGGGTGGTATACAGGATCTAGCGTATCGCTCATGGCATCAAACGTCCAAAAGACACGCGAATCACGATGGCGGTAAAGCTTTACAGGATGTAATTCGTGCGTAGAGCTGCGTCCTACAACCTTTTTCCTGCTCCACAGCCCTTGAACACGCTCGAAACATTTCTCATACCACTCGTGTAGGGTATAAGTGCTGCTGCTTATTCAATACTTTTACATATTACTTTGCGGATTCGCTTGGATCTGGGCCGAAGCACAATCTCAAACGGAACAGGGCTCCGTCCACTCGCACCATCGTACTCGTTCAGATCGACAGGATGACCTGGCACTTCTGCCAGGTCGAACGCCCACAGCATCTTCGTTACGGCGAGCCAAATTTCGTGCTGTGCAACGAGTATACCGGGGCAGATACGCCGACCGACGCCAAAGGTCCAGTGGTCGCGCAGGCGCGGATCAGCCAGTCTTGCGGACTTGGCAGAAGAAAGACTATCGTCGAGGTAACGGTCAGGCTGTCCCCAGTTGTTAGTGGTACGGTGAGATTCTCACAGGCACAGAAATGGCTTACATTAAACTTGAGGGGATCAGGGTATCGCACTGGATCGTGGTGCATGGTCCACGTGTTCAATATCAAGACCGACCCTGCCGGAATGAGCGTGTCGTTACACACGAGGTCTTTGCTGGCCGCATGTGGTGTGCCCAGCCAGAATGGATTGTGACACCGCTCCACCTCTTTGATAATAGCTCGGCAATAGGGTAGATTGGCCTCGTCTTCCAGGTTAGGAAAGCGTCTGCGGCCGACGACGCGGTCGAGTTCTTCGTGAGCCTTGCGCTGGACGTGTGCGTGGGAGGGAATCAGCGCGCTAAACCACTGTATGATGGACGCAGTCGTCTCGACACCGCCCACCATGAACGCCGAGGCTAGCATGGCCATGTCAAGATCATCCAACTGCTCCCTGTCTCTCGTGGCGACCATGGTCTTGACGAAGCAATCCTCGACCTGCACACCGGTCTCCATGCGATGCTCGATGCGCTTGACTTCACGACCATAGGTGTCCACCAGTGCAGCGTGCAGTTGCTTCCCGCGACGCTTCATTTCCCACGGCAGGCTTCTCTGTAGCCACCCGGGCACGAAGTCAACCAGATTAGACATGGGGCCGGTCGTGTTCATGAACTCGCGCGAGAGGGCCAGGACTAGTGAATCCGCGACACGAATCCTAGGAGAGCCGAATGTGATTGCGGCCATGCAGTTCAGGGAGCAGCGTCCGATGTAGACCTGGGGATTCAGGTGCTTGCCATTCGCACCGTCCCTATAGAGCGCTCTGATCATCTTCGTCGTTTCCAGATCGAGTACGCCAGTTTGCTGGCCGGCGTCTTTCGGGTCCAGCGAGGCCGTCGCTATCCGGCGGTGTCTGCGCCTGCAAATGGAACTCAGTACCCGTCATTGTCGTAGGCTTTCCTGGGGAGGGAGGGGGAGGGGAGGGGAGGGGGAGGGATGGAGAATCACACAAGACGTACCACATGTCCCCGTATCGGGTGGAGGTAATACCCCTGCCCTTGAGGATCGTCCGACTCTTGACGAACATTTCCTTGCGATCGGAGCAGATGGCTCCGTTGCTAAGGAAGAGGGATTTCGCAATGCCCGGATCTGACACCACGACGAAGCGCTGGTTACCGATCGTGAAGGAGTAAAGCGGTCCGTATTCCTGGGCCCATCTGTGGAGGGTCTGTTCGGGATATGTTCTCAGCAAGCTGAAACAACCTACGCTTTGGTCAGTGGTTTCGACGCTGCCAGCTGGACGACAACAAACGCATGCCTAGTATAGGGTAGCCCCGAGGGCCCTTCGGCAGGCCAATGGCGCCGCGGCGCAAACGACGCCGCCATGCGACGATGCCGAACATGAAGCCAGCCGTGACCACTAGATATACAACCCACATTCCTGAATACCGTCTGTACGTGCAAGGCGATGCACACGAAAGCGCAGCAACCGAATGATGCAACGGTGCACGGAGTAGGCTGCTTAACATATGTCGCACGGTGGAGTGCAGGTACTGTAGACAGAATAATGAGGAGAGAGCATATGTTGTATTGATTGTAGTATCCTAGCTCAGCTCGTATGAAGGTCATCGCACGGCGTTGTTAGCAATAAGGTTCATGTTCGCGACACCGCTTGGCCTGCGACAACATACAACGACACTAGGGTCATATCTCTGCGCAAAACACTATGTCTCTTAGTCTTGGCTTTCTGTCATCTGGGTCAGTGGATGTCGAGGAGGGAGCTAGGGTTCAGCACTTTGGCTGTACGAGAGGGCCATCGCCATGGCGAAGCAGAGATGACCTGCCGGAGTCACGACGATCATAGACGCCGATCTACCCTGTGCATGCAGCTTCGTGATGGGCTTACGCTCGCGTACGCGTTGCGGGACGGCAGCCTTCCCTAATCCGCCCTTGTAGCCCCTGTAAGCTGCTTACGGGGTAGACAGGGCTTACGATAAGCGAGTATAGACCTTGGATATGCTGACGCTGCAGACGAGCCGCATGGACGCTTTGACCGCTGACATCGTGTAAGGGTGCGATGGGTTGACCATAAGTGCAAGGTATAACAGTAATGAATTCGATAGAGAAGCTACACTACGCTTGCGCTGAGTCTATGTATCACGTAGTGCTAGGTTCGAGAAACTTCTAAGGGTCCGTGGAGCGCCGATGAAGCCCCGACAACGCTCCGAGGGTTGCAGCCTATCCCAACCAGCTATAACGAAGGCCACAGGCCAAGTACTACTAACCAAGGCTTCAGCCTCTTACACATCGGCCCTGCGTGGGAACCGAGAGCGATGTTCCAAGCTGATCACTGTCGTCGGCAGTCGCTGGGCACCATGCCCAACTTGCCGCATCGGACTTGCGCGTGCGTCTGAGAACTGTGCCGCAGATTCTAGTAGAGCAAGCACTCATGATGGGGATAACCTATTTGAGGATGCGACGACCTGCTGTCTGTCTGGCGATAACGACTTGTGACCGAGCGGGATGAATTCGATACCGGTGAACTTCGACAATGTTCGCTATTCTCCAGTTGATCGCAGGCCCTACTTTTGGGATCCTGCCTACCCGCAGTGGATCCAATTCCTAGAGAATGGCGCGTGGGCATCAAGGCACGTGTCATGGGTAAAGGAGTACGTTTTTTTACAACGCGTTTCGCCCCGCGCACATTGGCCTAACACTAGACAGGGAGACCAAGGACGAGAACATAAAGAAGATCGCGAAAAAAGCGGAAAGGTTGCTACCCCCAAACCAAAGCGCGACCGAGACACCTGGGCCCGCTCAGCGTCCAACTTTGCCGTCCCTCCAGTCCTACCATGCGAAGATTTCGCCGGAGCCCCCGTGTCACGAGCCTGTCGGCAAGCGCAGGACGCCGCAGAGACGACTGCTTCCCGCATCCAACTCAGGCTCATCGGTATCCGCACGAAAGCATCCCTACTCTCAGGCTCCCAGGGGACAAACGCAGCCTAGGCAGGGCACTACGGGTGGTCCCTATCCGAGACTTGATTATTACAGCATGTAGAACGGCAACTTGTAATCGTACCGCTGGCTCGATGCAGCGGCCATCGTTACCAAGGAGGATATCTACAACAGGTCTGTGGTTGTGCCACGCCAGTGTTCGCACTGCATAAGCAATATTTTTGTCTCAACAGGGTCGATGGTGAGAAGCGGGACGAGTATACCTAGCTTCGAGGTGGCATCAGTGATGGTAGTGAGAAGCGTATCAGTTCATGTCGTCGTTCTGTAGTACCGTGCTCCGGTTGCAGGCAACTTGCTACAGTGTAAATCATCCCGGAGGGATGCGGTGGAAGCAAACAATGGTGTCAATGTCGATATCGCCTTCCTCCGAACGTGCATGCGTCAGTGGACGCGGGCGGTCTTTTGTCTGGTATGTGGTACTTGCTGCTTTTCCTATACGAGAGGATGGTCACATGGGTGTCTTTTGATCTCGTACGTTTGGCGTGGCTCGTGTCGCTACGGATCATTGCAAGATTGAAGGATGGGAATGAGCTTGTGGCATAGTACGCTGATAGGTGCGTGATGTACGCCTTGAGCGAAGCGCTACTGACGTTGTGCCCAGCTCTAACTACCCAACTCTCCCTCGGAATGGCGAAGTAGAGCTGACTGCCTGGCTGCTAGTATCTATTGATCTTACATAATGATCGTCTTTTCTCTCCCAAGCACCGATGCGTGGAACGCGGTAGGCATCCTTTGCATTCGTATGTCTTTGCAACACAATCGAGAAGCGGAATACGTACTCGAGGTGAGTGGCGGGTCACGGGTGTCTCTCCAGAATGGCAGAACCGGAAGATTTTCTTTGTGAATTACATAATGAGTGCTTAGTATGTACAGAACAGGCCAGCCCGCGATAGCGTCATAGGAAGAGATTTCTACCGTGCGCGCCGGCCAGCGGCCTCCTACTTGGCATGCATCCCACGTTTCTATCATGGTGATAAGGACAGCTCAAACTTCTCGTTCGTCGGAAGATCTCGTGAGCTGAAACCCGACATTGCGTGAAAGGACCCTTCCGGCAAGGTCCATGTTTGTGCAGCTGTGCTTCAACAACTGAGGTCGCGCCGCTCCAAAACAAATGCGACTTCTTTCGACTAGTCCTTATCTTGTTTTAGATGGAAGTACGGGATCAGGACTCGTACGACCATGTCATCCAGCCGGTCGCTCGAAAGTGATCCGTTGTTACTGAATGGGGTCAGTAAGGTACAGGGTGTTGCTAGTTGGCGTCACCTACACGGCCGCGGTGATATTCTCACCAAAGTACGACGCCGATTTCCCGAGGAAATTCATGCTACCAGGCATGTTCATGTCCTGTTCGCAATTAGATGGGTGGCGCCCGAAGCCCTGGGGACAACACGTACCAGACCGGCGTTGGCGGATGGCACGCCAGCATGCGCAGCGAAACAGTCGGACACAACATAGCCCTAAAACCGAGTTCGTTTTTCAGCAGACCGTTGAGCGCCTTGCTGTTCTGGCAGCCGTAGCTTCCGTTGATGCGTTGGTAGGAGCACATGACTGAGGCAGTGCCTGCTCCCACGGCATTGGCAAACGGCTAATGGTACGTCTCGTGCATAGCCTGGAGGACATGGTCAGTTGTCGTGGCCCGCAAGCAGTTTGGCAGGGTTTACCTTGTCGTCTATGTTGGAGCTGATCGCCTCGATGATCGTTCGATTGGCGCTAAAGGTGGGATTCCGCTGAATCTCCTGCTCATTGGCGATGTAATGCTTCGTCGCTGCCTGAACGCCCGCGCTCTGGATCCCTTGGACGGTTACTGCGACGAGTTCGCCTGAGAGGTAGGCGTCCGGACTGAAGCCCTCCCAGTTACGCCCGCCAAAGGGAGATCGCCCAAGCGGGCCGGCGACTGGGCCCAGTACGACGTGGGCGCCTTTGGCACGAAACCCCGTGCCCATATAGAGCGCATGCTGATGGGCGAGCGAGAGGTCCCAGGATGCTGCTACGGACAGCTGAGCCGGGAAAACAGACACAAAGGGGGCGTCGCGGATCGCCTGCGGTCTATCTTGCAGGTAGAGGCCAGTGAAGTTGAGACGGCTAATAGGTGCTATATCGCCCATGCAGGGACCCGTGGTACCTGCAGACGAGTTCAGTTGCTTGTCGATCTGCAACAGAGTGCTCCCTACCCGTAATCATGCCAGCCTTCTCCGCAAGTGTCAGTTGGCCGACGAAATCTCTAGCTGCCTCCAGTGCTTCTTCCCATCCCCGACTCCGGTAGTGTAGGCTGAACGGTAAGTCAGATGGAGAAGGAATTATTCCTAGGGTTGCTCACGGGAAGGGTAAACAGGCGGGCTGGTTCCATATTGAGTATGCGTAAGGCCAAACTGCGCAGCGACTGCCGCGATGTGGCCGAGCCCTACGACAAAGTATAGCATGGTGGAGGTACAGTGGTGAATACAGCAGGTCCAATGTTGTAACACCCAGTGATATCACCGTTATACTGCCCGTGTCCGCCATTTGTGCCTGCCCAGATGCGAGATCTACCGTGACGTGCGAAGAAGGCACCATCCAACCAGCAGAATCGGATCCAGGCAACACACTTCTGCGTAGCTGAGTCTGCACAGCAGCACCGTGTTGCGGAAGCACTGTCAGCCTCGTGTCGCACACTGCTTACGGTACATGGAATGGACAGCTAAAGCAGATATGCGTGTGGCATTCCCACGCATCTCCGTGACGAGTGGGCGATTCCACCACTCGTCCTGTCTGCTTGTCCTAATCGTTATAGCGTCGTGGACACCATCGCCGTAACTGTCAGCGTCATACTCATCTTCGACGTAGACATCCCCCGCCGCGTTGGCCGAATGCTGCATCACAGTTGCCAGAAAGACTCTTGAGCTGCCGTCGCCGCAACGGCGATCTGCTTACATTCCCAACATCAGCAGCTTACTTACTCTATCGAGAAAGACACTTTTCGGATCAGCGAGCCTAGTCTCTTCATCGCTGTCGCTACGGTACACAGCGTTCGAGCGTTGCCTGCGGCTCAGACGACGCACAGCCACGGCATTTTGTGTCGTCGTGACGGGGCTTGGATGCCTGTTCGTCGACATTGGGTTAACGTCAGAACCGCTGTCTCCTCCAATTTCGCCTTGCCGTCAGCCTTGGACCTAAAGCGCTAGGTATTGCTACCCTTTATAAACGATAGCTAGTTCGCAGTCACAACAATACAGTTTCCAGCTCTGCGCAACTCCATCACTCAGTCTTTTCACACAACCACGACGACAGAACGGCAACGGACCCTTAAAGCTCTTATAAAAAAGATGGATTCTACCTCGAACCAACCCACTGGGGCTGAACAAGGCCCGGCATAACGAGTATTGATAAGGTGGTGGAAGACAAAAAGCATCAACTTCCAACTTGGCCATCACCAGAACCAACACCGCACAAAGATTTTGTGCACTCTAATCCCCCGGAACCACCGACATACCGCAAATTTACTGTCTTTACCGCTGGCAGCATAGAGATGGGTGCCGCAGTTAACTGGCAGCGGTTGATGGTAACCCAGCTGAACCACTTGCCGATCACTGTATGCAATCCCCGGAAGGCAAATGGGATCAAAGCATTACGCAACAGGCCAAGGACAAATTCTTCAAACAACAGGTCGATTGGGAGCTAGATGCACTAGAGCAAGCAGACGTCATATGTTTCTTCTTCGACACCGAGACCAAGAGCCCAGTGTCTTTGCTCGAGCTAGGTCTTTGGTCTGCCTCCGATAAGGTTGTCGTTTGCTGCGGAGAGGAATACTGGAAAGCAGGAAACGTCCAGCTCACGTGTAAGAGATACGGTATCACGTGTGTCGAGAAATTCGAACAATTGGTACCCTTGGTCGAGGAGATGCTTATCGAGAAGGGCATGAAACTTGACAAAGGCAACTTGATCGGAGAGAACATACACGTGCCAAAAGAGAAGCCAAAGAAGAAGACGCAGCTTGAGGCGGAGAAGGCGCAACTTAAGGCAAAGAACGCGCAACTTGAAGCAGAGAAGGCCGACTTGCAGAAAGAAGTTTGTGAATTGCTAGCCAAGCTGGCGATACAGCCAGAGATGTGATCACATTATGTGAGTAGGCTCTAGCGCTCGTGGTGGGAGGGTGGATCGCGGCACGCGTGTCCAGTACCGAGAGTTACCTGTATAGACGGTGGATAGCAAATCTTAACATGTATCACGACAACTCGTGTACCTTCTATCGTGCATGCTGATACCTAGTCGTTCAATAGACGAGTCCGGACAACGTGAACGAACGGCTGTGTACGTCTCCCTGTGGATCCTCACAGTTTGTGCCGCTGCAGTTCAGGGGTCAGATGTCGCAGACCTAGCGGCTGCAGTTGCTGCACAGACTAGGTACCGGAGCGCCAGGGATCCGACTCCGCGGAGAAATCTGCTTACGCTCCGCGAGGCGTACGTTGCGCACAGGCCCCCTCGCGAAGCTTGACTCGCTGGCGCCGCGTCTGCAAGGGACACGAACCGTAAGCATGCTGACGACCATGTAATCGTTCCGACGGTTTGGTTCCCTAAGCCCGACGTCCGGATCTTGCGCACATCCAGAGGCGCATCCGTTATTCGTGTGGCTAAGCACTGATGACCTCCGTTCAACGAGGTGTCGCAACGTGCGCGACCCGTCTAGAACGGTGCCGCAGGCACTTGGTTCTGCCCGAGGTAGCAACGGCATCGCCACCATGCTAATCGCAAGTCTGTCTAAGAAATGTCGAGCACAGCTCAGCGTCTAGAAAATTGCTCTGGCACATGAAAGCCCAAAAATTCATAGCATAACCTGCGTTGCGTGCCCATCACCTATGCGCAAAGCCGGTTTGCCGCACTCGCTAGTACGTGAGCCAACGCTAAGCCGAGCACGGAAGGTGTTCACAACATGGGCGATCATTGCGCAGCTGGGCAGCGGGTGTGATTGAGCAAGAGTCAGTGAGACAGAGTGCATGTTTTGTGAATTGTACCGCCCTAGCTCTATTGACTTCTAGGCCAAATTATGGCACGGTTCGTGACAACGTTCCTGTTATGACAGGGCGACTGTTGCGAAGGGTTCTAAGCTATCGATTCAGAGGCAACCGTATCGCTGACCCATCCCTGGCTGCATCTTGCTACCCTGTGGTCGTTGGTGAGCACCGCTGTGAACGAGAAGAACAGCAGCAATCTGACATGGCCATGTCTTACGTCTGTCATCTTGTGTGTACCCCGCAATCCCACTTCAGTGCAGCGATCCTCCACGGCGTGCTTACCGGAGATAGCAATGCATATGCGTAAGAGACGCAGCACATGTTCAGGAGCCCACCCCGTGTGTCGTGCCGCGCAAACAATGCACGTTCGATCAGTCGAATGTCTGCTCGCTGCTGGTGATGGTGATCAGAAGGCGTTGGTCTCCAGGGCTCGATTGCACTTTCCTTGCGCGTCGTGACCGGCCGGTGTCATGTGTTGGTGTAGTGCAACACAGGCCTCGTGTTCGGTGGGAGAAGGTTGCAGCGCGTGGGATTGTTCTACCGCGAGTACTTTCTTCTGCATCTCTACTTCAGGATAGCTTGGTGTGAGGCAGGTCGTGCAGTGCGATAATCCCTGTGCTGGGCATGCCCACCAATCGATGCAGATGCAACACCCGCAGCTCCAACCTTGCTCTGTCTGGAAGGAAGGAGATGGATGGAAAGTTGAGATGTAAATCTCCCGGCTGAACAATTCGTACAGGTCGGCATCGATATGTACGTCCCAATCAAGCGCTGCCAAGAATTGCCCTTCCATCAGATTCACCTCCACGTTCGAGAAGCCGGCGAAGCCGCATTCAGGAATAACACTGAGATCCGCCCAGCAAGCGTTGTTCACGCTGTCATCGTTGTGGACCTTATGCGCGAGCATCAACGCAGCTAGGAAAACTCGATGAGGGGTAGACGGGCGACCGAAGTGAGCAGGATGCAGGCGACCCCGGAACCATGATAGATATATGAGGCTCATCATGAGTTCCGGAATGGGGGTGTAAGACCGTATGGTGATGTACAGGACGAAGTCGTCGATGGAAGGAAGATAGGCCTCGTCCACACCTGGCTTATAGGCAGATAGGCGCGGTACAACCTTGGCCACTTTCTCAGCGACATAATCGATGAGACTGGACAGTTGACGAAGCTGGGTGGGGTGTCGAGGCATGCTGAGCTGGTAGCAGAGAGGGCATGCGTGCGCAGACTGCCGCGAGGAGGTAGGGTTATAAATCCATGCACCGTTCAGACTTCACACGGTTAGAAAGGAGATCCCGCTGTAACTGCAACACTACAGTGCAGTCTGCAAGTCACCGCCTCGTTCGTCAGTACAGCAGCTGTGTGAATCGACGGCAGACACTCCTAAGCAACGGTCTGTTCGCACAGGTACAAATCATTAGATTCGTGATCGCTCCGCCATACGACTATAGCCATGTCTCGAACAGATCTTCCGCTGCCATCCGTAAGCCGACCTGGCTACTTGCTTATTAGCTCACTCCTTGTACTCTTGTTATCGCTCGCTTCGTGCCGTGTGACGTCTTGCGTCTGCCTCGTTCTTACACATCTCCACCGTCTGGGGAGTCTTTTCGGCATACACCAGTTGGCGTCAGCACCAGGTTTTGTCGAGCATCGGCAACATCTGCACACCAGTCAGAGCCTAGCCCTTCTGGAGCCCTACGCCTGTATCGGGCGAGACGGCGGCTCGCAAGCTCCTATGGCGTGTGCCGATTCTGGGACATCAGCCTTGACGCACGGAAAGTGAATTCTAGGTGCTTTCTCACCTCTGTCTCTTCGAAACAGCCGTAATGAGAGCTCGTGAAACATGCTCACGGGTTCGCACAGACACGCACAGAGTTATGGACCGCCTGGGTTTATAAGGGATTACGTCGTATCTTGGTTAGTCCTGCGTCGGCGATGAGATGATGTATTTGTCTTTAGCTTACGCAATGTTTCGATGTACATGTGGCAATGCGGATCGAAGGACATAGTGAAGCAGGAATAGAGGTTTCTGCTAGGAGATATCGATAGTAGCTTCAGAGACCTGCTTATTGTAACATGAAACGTCAAGCACCACAGAATCCAAAGCCTAGCTGAAGATGAATGTGCGTGGTCTAGATATAGTAAAGTACGATCCAAGCAATGGCTGTGTATGAATTTGGAGAAACAACGCCCTTTAGTGACTGACGCAGTCCATATCTTCTAATTTTTCAAGGAAAGAGATTCTATAATTCTAGTTCAATGCTGTCTTAATTCGGCCAGCTATCAGGTCCGTGCTTTTTTGTGCGCAGCTGGAGTGTGCCTAAGAAGCATATCGCTGGCGTTGGATCCATTTCTTTCTAACGACTCACGGACATACGGAGGATGGTATAACTGTAGTTTCCATTGAGGTGGCGTCAGGATTGCGCTCGGTAAGGCTTTGCCGGAGGGTTGTGGGTTTCACTGTGTCCGAGTTCTGGCAGCGGAGAGAGCTGGCTGCTGGCTGTCGGCAGGCCTCTTTGGCTTCCGTAGGTGTGTAATTCACCATTCATTGTTCTATGACGCCTATCGTCGTCAGATTGGAGATATTCAGGTACGCCGGTTCAAGGAAATGGTGCGTAGACTCGGTCGATTCACTTGTAGAGACTAAAACTCCACCCCATCTACGCTAGAATATCCTGATCGCAGCCTATCAAGCACTTCTAGCAAGCCGCTGTGTTCCCATATTCCCGGACGGTTGAGTGAACGCTCAGACGTAGAAAGGTCCTCCACGTACTGGCAGCACCTCGTGGTTTCTTGGAAGCGATTCTGCATGGAGCTCGGAGCTGTAGGTGTGCGTTCGACTCGGGTCAGCCTCGCTGGGGTGGCTAAAGTGGTGGTAGTGATGAACCTCGAAAGCTAGGCTGCCAGCACTGCCATTGCATTCTGAGATTTTCTGCAGTAGGCGTGTGAGCAGACGTTTGCTTTCGGCACATTCCAACCTCCTGCAAATCTGCGCAGCCCACCCTCGCTCATGTAGGGCGTTACCGGATCGATGTTTTCCAGAGAGCCAACAACGATTCTTTTCGTCGGCGCAGTGCATACTGTTCGTGAGGACAGGACTATTGAGACAGTGCCACTGTAGACGGTAGCTGGGAGCTAACAAGGCCGTTGTGCTTGTGAGGTTAGGAGAACGTCACATAGTACCTCCTGCAATTGGCAGGGCATGAAATTTTTAGACGTACCGTACTGTGACTGGAAAACGCGGCTTCGATTTTGCCATCAGCGACGACACATGCACTTGGCTAGAGGGTAACTGATATGGTTCACATGATGCTGATGGCTGACGCTTAGCTAGAAGCGAGTAAGCAGATCTTCCTAGCAGACCGTCTGGACACTGTGTGCAGGTGGGCAACGATGAATTCGCTATACACGAAACGCTAGATGCATGAGTACGCGAAACCAATAGCAGAAAGAATTGTCTCAAAAGCGGCTTACGATGCTCAGATAATGAGGAATCAGTCACGGAACGAGCTTTTCATTTGACTTTGAGCAAGGACTTGTTTCATACGTGCGTTCAGCGTATGGCAAAATGTTTAGATCCTATAATCGAGTTAAATTTATGTATGATGTAGGCTGGCCATGTTTCTGGGTCCATGGAATCTTCGATGTTTTCCAGGCAGAAAAGGCCCTCCAAAAGTGTGGCCCTGGCTCGGTCTCGCCGTCTACGAAGGTCACGGTTTGCTTGCGTTATGCACACTAAGCATTTTCACAACCCAGGATGGCTTCATAATTGATGTGATCATAGGCAGATATAGATGTGGTCGCGTGTCAGCAGATGATTCTACGCCACCCTCTGATAGTGCTTCAGTTCGCGGTAGACTGTTGACTGCTACTGTAGTGTCTGGACACTCGGAGCACACTACCTGCGTGGAACATCGATACTTCGATGTCGTCTACTGCGGCTTGTTATACAAGTCATGCGAGTGAAACATATGATCTCCTCAAAGACGACGTGAAGCTGTCGCGTGGTGGGGATTCCATGGCACGCCTAGAGGACTACAGTACTTTTACACAGCTGTGGGGAAAATGGACGCGAGAAAGATCACAACATCATACAGACAAAGACTTTCTATGGTGTGTTTGTAAATAGGCTGGTCCTTCTTGTATTCGCACCAAGTAAGACTGGGTCCTCAAACACTGACAGTCACTGTGCACCAGCATCTTCAAGCTTTCGCTCCAGTATTCTGACTAGGACCATGACCTGCCTCGATTCGTTGTCATCTAAAATCTCTTCGTTTTCCAAGTTCTTCTTCTCAAGTTTAAGCTTCTCCTTTTCAAGTTCAAGGTTCGCCTTCCTGAGTTGAATCTTTTCCTCTTCGACTTGAATGAGCCTTTCCTGCGTTTCGATGTTTTTCTTCCTGAGATCAAGTACCTTCTGCGCGTTATGTTTGCGGTCCTCTGTATAGTCTGGCAATCGATTTTTCAAAACATCAATAACTGTGCGGATGTAGTTTAACTCCTCTCTTCGGAGGATGCAGTCATTGCGATCCTAGCACCTGGTCAGTAGACTGCTTGAAACATCTGGCAGAGAACTGACAGGGTGATGTGAAGCTTTGTTTGTTGGCTGTATGCGATGTAGTCCTAAGGCTTTCCTTTTTTTTCTCACGTTTCTCATGTCGTTCTCGGTGATTGCATCCACTCTGGAAGAATCTAACTCTGAATCTTTGGGTTTACGCTTTCGCTTTTGATTGTGTTCGAAGGAGATTGAATTGTGGTCGTTCTGCGAAGAATGAATCTTATTCAAGGTCAGCTATACACAAAACGATGTGACTTCGCAAGTACCTGTTTGTCTAGAGTAGATTTCACGACGGTTTGTGCGACAGAGAGTTTTCGACTGTGATAGTCTCAGGTCCAAAACGTTGATCCTTAACATCAACTATCTTGGCATCGTCGTCGTCCCACTCATCTTCGCTGTCTGGGACTACAGTGTATTCGTTGACGCCCGGTTGTGGTCGATCGTTCAAACCCTCCTTCTTCATCAGACGGTTAGCCAATGGTTCGTGTCCAAACATCGTGACTCCAATCGAGCTTTACAGAAGATTTCTCTTACCTGTCCAGGACTCCGGCTGTTGCGAGATTGATATCTCGATGGACATGACATTGCCTGTGATGATGGGGGTGACTGGGTGTCCATGTTGTGGAGGTGAAAGAAAGAGGTGAGATGGTTGGAAGAAGCTTGCAAGAGAGACTGACTCTTTATATACCCTCCTCTGCCCCTGGACAGAAGGCAGGCAGCATTGTCGCCAACTGAAACCTGCGGCCTCCATCCTGGCTTCAATGCCACACCTTGGTTTCCACTCCCCTCCCTGGTCCATGGTATTAGCTTCCAGCTAGCACGCTGTCCGAAAGCAGAGCAAGAAGCCGCTCATCCATGTAATGCGGCTGAGGGTGGTCTGACTATAGGGGATGGCTGATTTTCCACTACTACGGCGTGTTCTCATCCTGGTCTTTCCCTGTCCTCAAGTAGTTTGAAGGGAGGACGTGGGCTGAATCCTGTTTCTGATTCCAGACTTTCCTTCCGGCTCTTCATGTGACCTGAACGAGGTTTTCATCATGCCTTGCTAGAAACCTCTCACTGCGCAATTCGCATGTCTATATTGCACTGTCTTTGGACACTGTCCATGACGGGAACCTGCCAGTCTGCAGACAGGAGAGACCATTTGTCCAGCCTATCGCACGGGATATCAGGCCATACTTCCAAGGAATGACCCACAGGGCGCAGTGTCTTCCAGGAAAAGAAACACTCACAAACATACCGTCGGATGCAGAGAGGCGACAAGGCCGTGGGAGTGGCGATGCCGCTGGGTTATGCGTTGAAGGAACATAGGGGACCCACTGGGCGAAGTAGCGAGTCACCGCTAGGTCGAACACTGCTGTGGAAAATGGATTGATCTTGTCCACAGTGGCTGTTTCAAGGGGACGGCAGTCTGCAGTCTACTTGATACCCACTGTACTCGTGCTTTCCGGCACGGGTTGTCTTCGTCATTGTATGACCTCCTAAACGTACGCACAGTATTTCGAGAGACCACTCGACGGCGCAGTGCCAGATTTGCGTCTCTGAGGATATACTGCAAGGCACTGGTAGCCTTCCATTGCCAGGGTCTGGACATTTGGAGTACATTGCCTGCGTGGACCATCGATACTTCGACGTCGTTTGCTATTGACTGCTATACGGGCAACGCGAGTGAGACATGTGATTCCTATCGTCAATATCATGTAACACGAGCGTGATAGCAGGCCTGTATTGCCTGCAGGAATCTCTAGCAGACTTTGAAAGAATAGATGCGGGAAACGTTACAGAGTGCGAGAGATCCAGGTCAAATAAAGCATGTTGCGCTGCTACAATGTTACAAGTATCTTCAATGTCGTGGTTCTCTCTAGCCCGAGCTTTCTCACATGGTGACTAAGGAAGGTTATGCCTTTTTCAATAACTACTGTCTATCTCCAGCTGTAGGGATTACATCTCTGCTCTTCAGAGCGATAAGCTCCTGCTCCTTTTGAGCAATCAGCTGCTGCTGTTGACCAATCAGCCACTTGTGTTGTTCAATCAGCCACTTCTGTTGATCAATAATCTGTTCCCGAACCAATCTATCGGCTGCCCCATCGAATTTGTACTTGAGAAGTGTTTCCACTACATCCCTCACCTGATGGCGGAGATTGACAATATCATCGCCATTCTGGTTCGTTTTCTCACTGAGAAGAATAAATTCGTTTTCTGGAAGGATTCTGTGGTTAAGGACGGGCTTCTTGCATTGGGTCAGTGAGACGACAGTTTTCTGAAAATAGGAGACTGACCTCCGTTAGACGGCCACTGCTTGCAACACCCTTTTCCAGCCCGCTATGAAGTCGTTGTTTCTTGGTAGGTTTCTCGTCCTCATCCTTGCTAGCTGTGATCTCCACTGACTCACGACCGTTTTCGTCCTCGTTTTCATGAATCTCGTCTGGCTTGTTTTGCTGCTGCAAGAACTTTCTCTTTGCGTTATCGTCAGAAAATTCTTTGTGCGAGACAGTTTTCGATACCTCAAAGACCCATAGGAGGATATTAATACCTTTGAGGTTCCAGTGAAGGAATGATGAAGCGGTATGAGCGTGCCTCGTGCAGATTCTAGGATAGCATCGAAACCCTATCACCAAGTCAGTAGGCCGAACGACGCATGTAGGACAAGACTGACTTGTGCTTGCCTGAAATCTTTGACCGGCAGTTTGTGTCGTGATTTGGACTTTGAGTATCTTTTTCCTGCGTTGCTCCTATAATATTCTTCTTGAGGGGTTCCTGGCAACGAGGAATCACTGAGCACGACTGTGCTACCCTGACTTCTTGAGTTCCCATCCTGAATGTTGAGAGTATCGACACCGTTCTCGCCAGCCTCGTCGTTCTTACCAATCAAGGTGGATGTGATTATCTCGCCTATCTCTCCTCCAAGCTGCGATCGATTACTTGGACATCCTATCTTCATGACACTGTTAATAAACGGTTCGTGCGTATAAATCATGACTATAATCAAGACTATAATCAAGATCCGGGGAAGAATATCATACCTTTTTTGCGCTGGGATTGCGAGATTGGCATCTGATAGGAGATGAGTCCGGCAGTTCTGGTGAGCGTGACTGAGAATCCATATTGGTGAGGTAAAAGTAAAAGGTGAGATGGTTGGAAGAAGCTCGCAGGAGAGACAGCCCTTTAAGTACTCTCCCCTGCCCCTGGACATATTGCAGGCAGCATTGCCGCCAGCTGACACATGCCACCTCCATCCTGGCTTCAATGCCACCCCCTTGGTTTCTTCATCCCGGTCGCTGGTACAGCAAAAAGCCGCTCATCCATGCAACGCGGCTGAGGGTGGTCTGACTATAGGGAATGGCTGATTTTCCACCACTGCGACGTATTCTAATCCTGGCCTTTCCCCTGTCTCAGAGCGCAGCGCCTTCCAGAAAAGAAAGGTCTGCCTAGAAATACAGGCATGCCGTCCAATGCAAAGAGGCGACACGGCTGTGAGAGTAGCGACGACCCTGGTTCTTGCGTTGAAGGAAGATGGGAAGCCGACGGGGCGAAGCAGCATGTTGCTGCCAAGTCCATCCCCGCTGTCGAAAACGATTGATCTTGCCCACAGACGCTGTTTCAAGAGGACAGCAGTCTCCAGTTCACTCAATACCTTTGATACCCTTTCTACTCGTGCTTTCAGCGACGGGGCTTTCTTCGTCATTGTATGATCTCGCTGCACGTAAACGCAGCATCAGAACAGCCACTTGACGGCGCAGTGCCGACTTTACGTCCCTGAGAGTCCCGCAACCTTCCATCGCCACAGCGCATATCGGGATCGCGTAAGAGAAGATCGACACTGCCGCAAGGCGCCCTCCACGGGATGCGGGACCACGGAACGGAGAAGTTGCCCAAACAGAGACCACTACTTCCCTTCTTGCGCAAGAGGCGGGTCTAGGATTGCACAGCCGACAGTTGTGCTTGGGAGTCTTCGCCAGGCAGCCATTCCAGGATCAGCAGAAACAGCCCCTATTTCGATCACGATCGCAAGGTTGATCAGCTTGGTCACGCGCATGAAGTCCCAGCTGACAGAAGCACTCAAGAAGACTGAGGCAGTCTTTTATCGGAGGAGACCGCCGTTCTTTCACAGGATCCTTCCCCGCCACTGCGACTTGTAGACTCCATTGCACGACAGCTCAGCGACTGCGCTAGGGTCTGACGCACATGCGAGCAGTGGGAGACTTTCGAGACGATCAACAGATACACAGCAGGAAGCCTCCTGCGGCGAACCTGCTCCGTGTAGTAGAGGCCAGCACCAGCGATGTTCGGCAGGCTCAATGCTAGAGTTCACAGAGGGAAAGATGGAAGGCACTGTGATTCGAGTTTCACAGGAAGAGAGGTAAGACAGATTGCGATCCACTAGGCATCTTCAGGTGCCAGCATACGAAAGTCAATTCGCTCTACGTCACAATTACAAAGATCACAAGGTGCATCTCGCAGGACCAACGACTGTGGAATGAACATGCAGGATCTTGTTGAACATCGTTGACACATCTCGAGATCAGGGAACAAAAAGTGCCCATCAGGTTGTATAGTTGACCAGGCCGCTCAATTGCTTTTTTTCTTACGTTCACATCCGACCGCTCGGACATGCCACCGAACACCATCCAAAGTGGACCGCACGCCAGGTCTACGCCTACCAAATGTGCTATGCGGCTCGACTCGAGCCATGCTGATGGGCACAGTGGACTCGCACCAGTGGGAGCTTACTGCGTCGCTTATCTCAGATTGGGTGGGCAAAATGACGTCTTGCACGGCCCCAGTGCAGTCTTGGGTGACGAAGCTGTCTCTGCAGCTGCCAGAGCGTCTTTTTCTTCGCGCCAAAGGGCCGACATCATAACGGAAAAGATAATCTATCAGTGGAACCGTCTCAACGTGGGTATCAAGTGTGCCCTGCAGTTTGCTACCAATAGACTCGGCATGTTGCACGAATGTGTCGCCGTCCTTCAAGCCGCTGCGGATATGATCTACTGCGGACGTGATTCGCCCGGTGACGACAACACCCAAGAACCACTCGAACATGATACCGTCCACGAAGTCTGTAGAGTCATCCACCGCCGATTTGTAATGACTCGATGACTTGGGCTCTTTAGGCATTATCCGGAGCCATGCGTTGGACAACGAATCGACAGGCCAGTAGGTCATCTCAACATACTTGCCCGCTGGAACAAGCGCAATCTCTAGTAGTGTGATTAGGACGTCTTCGAGCAGCTGGTCTACAGCATCACCATCATGGAGCTTTACCATGATCTCCTGTCCATCACGACGGACACCCTTGAAAGACAGGACGGCGCAGTCAAATGTCCCGTAGCGGAAGGACGAGGAGCTGCAAGTCTCAGTGGTAAGAGCCTCCACGACAGTTGTGTCCTTTGAGCTAGCGACAACTGCTGGGATCAGCCTCTCCTTCATCGTCGCTTGAACGAGCGCGCCCATGGTGACATTTGGCTGGACCCAAGCGGTGGATTCGTCTAGCCTGATCTGCAAAACCCTGGCCTGCTTCATCATCTTCCCTATAGCTGTAACGGCTTGTCGTTGCTCTCCCCATGGCTTGTCATGATACTTCATCGTATGGGGTAGCATCTGCGACGGCTACGCTTGCACGAGCAGGGACGCGACGGACCCGAGTACACTTGCAGGAAGTGCACAGCGAGAGCGAGATAAGAATGTAGTCAGTGAGTGAGTAAATAATAATCTGCGGACCTTTTCGCTCGAGCTATAGACCCTGCGGTAAGCTTCATCGAGGCCCTGGCGGAGCTTCGGATCTCTCATTTATGATGACCATCAGCGAAGAGCACGATATGCTCCCACAGCCAGCACTATCCCGTCGCACAGCTGCATTTGTACTCCGACCGCACGGTAAATCAGCGTTGTCGAGACCTTTACCCAGCGCATCTACCGGGGATTCGCCATTTCTTCGTGATGACACTCTCGTCAGCAGATCCATGTGCGATGAGAAAGCCCAAGTCTGCTCACTACTGCAGGCGTCGCAGACCGACGCACAAGAGTATGACTCTTTACGTATGATGCCTTTCCCCGAACGTTAGGACTCGGAAATGCTCTGGCTTGGAGGCAGCCACTTCATCACCCGTCCAGACGAGTTGACAGAAATCTCCAATCCACCGTCAGTCACCAGGCAACCACCACCCTCTCCTGTCTGCTTCCTCAAGATGCCTCCATCGTGGCAACATCTGCATGCTTATATATCCGCCGACACTCGTCGGCGAGAAGAGGTTGCAGATGACGGCACGGAGAAGAGTACTTTGTCTCTCGGGTACCTGCTCTGGCTTCCGCCGACCCGGAGAACGATCCTGGACAATATTTCCGCTTTCGAAGTCGCAAAGCTCGTCCACTTGAAGCTGTGCGTCCTGACTCCGAAGGAAAGAGAGCGATATCTCAAGCCGCTTCGGGATTTGGTGTGGAATGTGCCTGCGGTCGAAAGGCTTTCACGAGAGGGCATGAAACTGACGCTACTGGGAGACGGCGCTTACGCGCTCGAGCAGCGATTGCACGCGACGGAATGTTATTTGAATTCTGTAACGGTTTAGGCCTTGCCCAAATTTACTCTAGTACGAGTTGGGATAGCTCGTGTACGGTCATCTATATAAGAAGCTCACCCCACCTCAGATAGTCAATGCAGCGCAGTCCTCCCCTCTGTTTTCACACCGTCACAATTAACATACCTAAAAACCTCTTCAATCAAGTCAATATTAATGTGAACTCGGAGTTTTTTCAATTAGGAACAATTACAGGCTCAAAATTGATTGAATTGATTGTTCCCATCTCTGAAGCTCAGCCTTCTGTCCAACCCACCTCGACTCTTTTCGGAGCACGACCCACAGCAACCTGTAATCCCAGAATGGAGTGGTACTACTATGTCTGAGGACTCACGAACTGTAAGCAGTTCTTCCTCCTAAATTCCTCAGCTCAACAAAGTCCTGCGAATCAGCTTCCTCCTCCTGAGGGCTTAAGCGCTTGTTCAGAGGTTGATATTGAACTCCATACCCGGTGTTGCCAACGAAGTCCGAATTGCTCTCGACATTGCCATATTGTCTTCTATCAGCCAAGCTGAACCGAAATTCCGGTTCCACCAAGGTCGGCACGTCGCCTTCTTTGCCTTTCCAAGGCCCAATACCTTTGCCTTCAGCTGCCATGCGTTGCAACTGGAATGTGGATGAGTCCGTCCACTCTTGAGTCTTGTAGATGCCGTGCCCTGTGCGGCGTTGGATCCAAGTGAACAACGGCCGGATGGCATAGCTGCAGAGAATGCACATAAGGCCAAACGAGATGGTAGCTGCCATGCCGATGACGGAGAAGGAGGTATGCCGGCCACTCCGTATCTTGATTCTGCCGCAAAGGTTGCGCAATTCTGGGTCCTGTGGTTGTTCGATGTACTGCAGGCTTGAGTTGGTGCTGCTGACATCGTACTGACCGGGGCGACTGTATGCCACAGCTCCACGTTGTGTGCTCGAGAGAGAGACGTTCATCCAATTCATGACCTCAGTTTCCCATTGATTAGAAGGCAGGCCTGCAGACATCTCGAAACCAAACCCACTATCCCAAAGCGCATCTTGCGCGATCAGGTTCTCGTGGCCTATGAAGCCGAGCTGCCAATGGAGCTGGCTGCTTGATATTATCTTTGCTAAAAAGTAGTAGAGGGCCTCCTGGGTAGGATTGAGGTCGGTGAGTGTGGTACCGTTCCATTGGGGTCCCTTGGCGAACAAAAGATCTGGGAAGAGCTTGTAGAGGCCAGTAAGTGGAGTACAAGAATGGGAACCTTTGGTTGCAGGATCTGGTGTCGCAGAAGAATCGGCTGAACCTGCTTTGCAGAACTGATATTGCTCTTGACAGCCAAGGAAGGACAGCGGATTCGGCGCTTTGCAATACATGGGAGCCAATGACCCTGGGAAGACAGTGCAATTGTCTGCGCGAAACCAAGGATCTGAGACTAAGGCGCCAAAAGTGTTCCTGTCTGTCAATCCGATAATAGTAGTGTCTGCCGTAGTGTTTAACATATCATCGATTGGTGTGAACTGATTCCAGACAGAGTTCGGAGGTAGGTCGAGGATTGCATTACTGATCCTATGATGTGTCAGTGTGATTCTCTAGACTTCAAGTGGGAAAGAAGCTGAATAAGGGACATGACGCCGACATAAACAGGGAGGTATGCACATGGCAGCCAATACGGTGTGGGGCGAGGGCATCGGATGGAAAGAGCAAGAAGAGGGTATAGACTGACTGAAGACTGTAAGGCTGAACACCTCGCACCCAGCGAATCTCGTCCATGCCAGAGGTGTAATTCAAGCCGACAACGCCAACATTTTGCCCAAAGACAATCGGCCTCGGACCAAACGCGTAGGACTTTACTTTCGTGTCGAATGGTAGACCAGTTGCAAAAGCTGTCTCTGGTATGATCTGCTGCCAGCCAGTCGCGTACTTCTCCCCAGCCAGAGGTACGCATGTGAGAACTTTTCTGACGGAGAGCGCATCCTCCGGACGTGTGTTGACTCCCAGATGAATATCGGAGCGCAGCCTACCCGTATCAAGGGAGATAGCGGTGCCATTGCATGCCTTCTTATTGAAAGGACACGTTACATCTCGATTGATAGTGTAGGGCAAGGTTGGCTGCACGAAGTTGTTGCAAGCCGTGGAGTTCTCTCCCAAGTGGCCGTAGCAAGACCGCGAGTGACTAGCACTTCTGCGGAAGGCGTTACGCAGCATGACGGTGACTACATTGATGTATTCGTATAATTGTGCTCCTGGAATCGAGTAGATGGTGTCGAGCGTGGGTTCTGGTGGGTTTAGATAGGTAGGTTCTTGGAGCCAGCCGCAGTGCCGGTCAATGGTAAGAACACTCGGATCCCGAGCGACGATAAGTCTGCTTGAGAAGCCACCTCCCAGCGCAAAGACAAGAGCGTACAAACTTGCAAATAAAAACAAGACCACGCTCTTGCAATAGATTTTGGACCCGCCATGGCGGTGTGCCCATGCTATCCTGCTCAGGTGGCTGATGAAAGAGGCGTCACTCTCGGTGTTGCGGAGGATGAGCTGCAGCTGATGGTGCGAACCAAGCTGTGGTTTGCTCGAAGAATTGACTTGGTGGATGACAAAGGCGATCGTGCCCCACAGGTACCCGCCAATGATCGTGATGAATAGGGTGAAAAAACCCACAAGAATCAGAGCCCACTGACTTGGTAGCGTCAAGGTCCCGCGATAGACAGGGTGATTACCTATCAGACTATGTCAGTAGGGCTCCATCGACGCATTGTGCACTTACTTTGATTACTCCAAAAGCCGCAATATACGGAGTCGCAGTCCCACCATGGCGCCATTGTCAAAGTATGAGATGAGACGGTGTCAGTGACAAGTGTGGGACGTGATGAAGTGGTCCTCTATATGAGAAGTCAATCGCCTTTCCCTAATAATAGACCATCTAGATCTGTCTCTCATTGTCTGACACCCGTGGCTCTATACCTGGGCACATAGTTACAATATGGTTATTTAGATAACTGGTTAAGCAGACGTTAGCGTACCAAAGTCCTTTTCAGCTAATCGGACAGATATCATTAGTAACAAGGTTTCCTCTGATTGATCAGAAAAGACTTTAGTACGCTACCATCGGCTTGACCAGTTATCCAAATAACTATATTGTAACCATATGACCAGGCTCACCTTCTCTTTCGCTTGCAATGTGGCTCGTAATGTTAGTACCTTGTTTTAATAGGCCCATCGTAGCTACGCAACTAACACTGTCCGAGAGCCGCTACAGACACAGCTAACTGCGGCTGACCCTTTTTCTACCCCGCCCGCTTCAGCTGCACATATGACTACCGCTCATCAGCCGCACACGTGACTACACTCCAATCGAAAGCCTCTCTACGTCGCATTACCAAAACAAGACGCCTTACCTAGTCGCTTTTTCTCTTTCCATCTTCTACTGTGCCACTTCAGCCTGGTGGCTGTGCTACGCCTAGGCCCAGTTGACCCTGACCCTCTTCTATTTATAGAGCCAGGGAAGGAAACAAGCTAGCCAGATCCGACTACATATACTACACACAATCTGCAATTAAGATCCATCATCGCACGATTACCTACATCTGCAACTTCATTTACACAATCTTCCCAACACAAACCTCACCTCAGCTCTCACCATGCGCTTCTCTGCCTCTGCCGTCGCTCTTGCCGCCATCAGCTTCACCTCTGCTCTACCAACCAACACGTATTCCTCTACGCCTACCAACTGCACAACTCCAATTCCCTCTTCTACAAGTTGCAGCAGCGCAACTCCTACTCCTCAACCAGGCAAGCCTTCGTGCCCACCTCTGCCCGACTGCAACACTTCGTGCCCGCCTCCGCCCGCCTGCAATACTTCCTGCCCAACCCCACCGCCCACTACACCATGCGGCAAGCCTACATGCTCCAACATCATCAAGCCTACAGTCACTTCCTTGTACGAGGTCTGGACAGGCGCAGTCCGTCACAACACGGCCAACGGCAAGGTCTTCAAGGATGGCAAAACCACCGACATCACCACCCTCCTTACCTTTGACTTCCCTCCTGAGTCTGCAGGCAAGACGTGTAGCTTCCACTTTGACCTTGCTTCTGATGCATCAGCAAAGGTCTCTGGTACAATACAGTTTGACGTGTTTACCTCTCTTGCCCCTGCTACTGGCAACACGTCTTCCTGGCCTTCGGGCAACCTAAGGGACCAGCATCTCGGTCGCATGACTGCGCAACGCGGTGGCGCAGCAACTTGGGTATCTGGATTCCCAGCTCTCGGCCAGGGCTTTCCTTGTCCGGCTGGGAAAACATACGGTGGAGAGTTAGTGGGCGTAGGCGACGCTGATTTTATCGAGTGGCTCGCTGGACCATCAGGAGCATCTATTCAGTGGTGTTAGCAGAAGATGTTAGCACTAGTCTAAGCAAGTTATTTAAGCGTGCAACTGTCGTCTAAGATAGAGTTTTAGTAATGAGAGAGCAATGCAAACACGTACTCTACCTATCTCTCTGCCTCTTGTGTACGACTAAGCAGGGCTCGCAACGGATCAAATCAAAGCAATACTTGATTTGATTGATTTGATTTGATTACATAAGCATTTGATTTGATTTGATTTTGATTTGATTTGGATAACTTGATTTGAATTGATACCCCGCAGCGGGGTAGATAGACCCCGATTTCTTGTACTAGTAAGTTATCTCCTAGCTAGTGAATTGCTATGATACTTGTTGAATTAAACAAAACGCACTTGTGAACAATAGATATACTAATCGTACGCCAGTGACTCACAGCGTCTACAGTGATACATTACGATGAAATTTTATATACAAAAGCAGTTAATCAGAGTCCTCAGAATTAATGTCAGAGTATTCAGTTTCAGCAATGTTTGCTACCCGACGCTCTCGTACCACACCCTCCTGTATGAGAGACCTAAGAACCTGATTCCTCTCTAACGTAGACCCTAATAGTGAGCTCCTATTCGGTGTACACGTTTTTGAAGCCTCACTGAATCGACGCTCTAGGTCTGAACTCATTGCTGGTGCAGCAAAGATATCAAGCGCTACCTTATGCAGTGTAGGAAAGCGCTCCTTGTTATTCCGCCACCAAGTGATAAGATCTATTGGTTCCTTCACAACTTTGCGTTTGCCAGTGACTTTATCTATTACGATGCCATCACGCCGTGGTACCTTTGGTGTTGTGTAGTAACGGTCAAGCTCTTGTGCGAGCGTCTCAGTGTCAGGCTCAGAAGGAACGTAGTCGTCGGAGAAGAGGAGGTCGTCGTCGAATTGAGTCTCTGGGACAAGGACGTTCGCCTGCGATTGAGCAGCCTGAGTAGCTCTAGTAACAATTGACGGCTCTACAGCAACGTCAGGACTGATAGATCTAGTATCGTAGGACTTGCACAGCGTTTCAAAACGCTTTTGAGCGCCACTGAGCCATCCAGACTGACCCTCCCATCGTTTCTGAAGACCTCGCCAATTGATGTTGGGGTTAAGGATCCGGGCCGCAGTGTAGGCTGGTGTTTGGTCTGAAACTCTGTAGTAGAAGTCGAGCTTTGCCCAGATTAAAGCTGCAAATTGCTTTACCTCCTTACTTGGCTGGGGCTGTCTCTTGCTTCGCTCAGTCCACTGTTCATAGTATTCGAGGAGCTTCTCAATCTCATCAAGCCATGTCGAGATATTCACCTTCTGGCCTTCTAGTCTTTTTGTTGCTAGGTAAAGTGGCTTAAGCAGTGCTTCGATCGCGGTAAGCGTGTCCCAGTCAGCGGCCGTAAGCCGGTCATTGCTTACAAGCTCGTCGCCAGCTTGTTCAAGTTCAAAGAGGTAGAAGTCAACTGACTTTCGAAGCTTAAGTACTGTATCAGAATTAGTACTTAATGCAGTAGCCTTAGTGTTTCTCCAACACAAAACTTACGCCTGTGTATCATACAATATGATGAGTTCCAACGCACACCGCCGTCACAGACTAGCGAGAAGATCTTCTTAACCTCTGCCTGACCTTCAACCTCCTTCTGAGCCTTTCTAAAGTTCTCTCTCCGCTGGTCTGAAGCACAGATGTGGTTGACGATGTTATGGGCCTTGCCAATTGCTCCCCTTTTCCTTCACTCAGCCTGCTGTACCTGAAGAGACCCTTCGTCTTGTGGATCGACTGGGTTGAAAGCGGTGGCAAGCAACTGAGTGTCCCGGTCGTTCTGCCTGGCAACATCCTCAACTCGCTCGTCATTAAGGGCATCCTCATTCAACTTCCTCTTTGTAGACGCGCTAGGCTTGTAGGCCAAGGCTGATTGAGCTGCAAGGTTGATAATATGGCCTCCGCATCGTAAACGACGATGTCGCCAGTCGAAGGAGAACACATCTCCAAGGAGCCGGCAGGCAGCGTCGTTATTGTAGGCATTGTCACCAACAATATAGCCAATGCTACTGCTATGAATTTCGTGCTCATTGCAGATTGTGCGTATAAGGTCGCAGATAGCCTCTCCAGTGTGACGGCCGTGGATCTGTCGGAGGGCAACAAGGACGTCCACCCGCTCGTAATCGGTATTCAGGTAGTGGGCTTCAACGCCAAGGAAGGAGAGGTGATTGTACGATGACCAGATATCAAAGCTAATCGAGATCTTCGATCGTGCGGCTTGAATAGAGCAATGAAGTACACCGATAGCTTCAGGACCTAGTCAGTCTATAAAGTCAAGAGAAAGAGAGAATGGGAGAGCACGCTTACCATAGCTATAGTGAGCCTTAATTAGTCGCTTGATAGAGTTGCCACTTTGGTATAGAAACCTGTTATCAATCTCTGGGTTGAGGGCCTTGAAAAGCTCTCTCGCTTGTAATGAGGACGCTCCGTCATAGCTTTGGTTGTTAAGAACTACCCAATCAACTAGCCTCCGCTGGAATTCAAGGAAGTCGATGTTCGTGAACGTGCGGAGGCGCTCATCCATAGCCCTGAGTTGAGCATTCAAGGTGCTTATTCTGTTGTCTTCAACACAGCTGTCAAGGTCGAACAGGCCATGTGTGTCGGGTGAATTGTTTCGCTCTACTTGGCCGATGTTATGCTTTCGGAGTAGATGCCCTGCTGCTGCTGTTGAGGACACTGGATCAAAGGTAGTCTCATAACCAGCACTATTACAGTGGGTACAAATCCAACGGTCTTTGCTTGGGTTTGATGGGTGATAGACGAGGGCGCCGTGATTGTAGATCCAACTTCGGCGTTGTCGAGAGTGCTTATGTGCAAGCTGACGTCGGAGCAGATAGCCGCCGCAAAATCGAGTATTGATATCGAAGCTATGTGGAATAGCATACTCACGTTCGCATGTTAGAGACAAAGGCAGGTTGGATAAGCTCGCAAGTGAGTCAGAAGATATTGATGTCATGCTAAGGGATAGAACATATTTTAAAAGAAGATCGTGCGCACCACTGCAGTGTGCAGTAGAGGTAGATTGAGTATATTTCTAGAGGTATCATGAGTGAGGCATGAGGCATAAGACATGAAGCAGGAGTGATGGAAGTCAGATCATTAGTTTGGCCAATAGAGTTGCCCGGTTATCTGTCCGCCGCACTTTAGGTTTCACGTTTAGTGGCTGACAAGGTTATACCATGAAATTTTCAAATCAAATCAAGTTATTCAATTCAAAGCAAGTTATTCAAGTTTATCTCAAATCAAAAACAAATCAAGCTATTCAAATCAAATCAATCAAGCTTTGATTTGATTTTGATCCGTTGCGAGCCCTGCGCCTGGGTATCTGGTACAGCTTTAAAGTAAAACAGATGGAGCAGCAGGATACACGCCCATACTCCTGGGAACAAGTTGTGTCCTTCGTCAGTTACGATGCTCACGGCAACACTCTCTTTGTCCTATATCTGGACAGCCCAGATAGTGTGAGGACAGCATTGAAAAAAAGGCTGATCGCAGCTAAAACGATCTTGTCTTTGGAGTGGCATGTCATCTTCCTTGGAGTTTTGCGAGACAGATATGACGAATCGGTCTGGTCATTGAGGGATTGCGTTCGAAACGCAGAACTTGTATGTAATCTCCCCTCCATCTACTCTGGCTGAGACTAAACGATAGCAGGCACGTGAGTCAGCCCAAGAGTTTAGGCCAGAATTTATGCATCTCCATGAGATTGCACGCCATCTGCTCCACTCGAACGAAACTTTGGACGTCACAGTCGACACAATCAAACGGATCCTGGCCAGCTACCCTAGGCTTCTTCCCCCTGAAAGAAGAGATGATCTGGCGCTACTCAATCTTCATGACAGAACTTCTGCGCTAGAGAAGGATGTTCAGGGAATAAAAAGGCGATCTGAATCTCTGACTCAACGCCTGCAGAACAAGATCGATCTTGTAAGCCAGGCTTTTTCTTAATCTTAGATCTTGTAGTAGCTAACATGTCCTTAGGCGTACAATCTCGTGGCTCAGCGCGACAACCAAATTATGGTCCAGATGGGCGAGCGTGCTCGTCAAGACAACAACAACATGAAACTGATCGCCGTAGTTGGCTTGGTGTACCTCCCTGGGACCTTTGTATCCAGTCTTTTTGGGATGAACTTTTTCTCGTTCGTCGAGGAAAACGGCCAGCAGAGATGGCAGGTGTCCGAGAAGTTCTGGCTATACTCAGTGTGTCCATCAACCAAGTAAACCAAAAATCGACCCTCTTACTTGACTTGGCTGACGAGAATCCTTTACCTTGCTTGGTTGGTTGACGAAAAGCCCTTACTTTGCTTGGTTGATTGACATTACTCGATAGAATTTCCCGATTTGATATCTATACTCATCTACAGGAGCATACCAGTTCGAAGAAGGTGCTTTTAACACTCAATTGCCGCTACAGTCCCTAAATCGAGCCGATTTCGTTCAACGAGTGCGTTGATGTGTCGCTTGTCGAAAGGTGAAGTCAAGATCAATAACCCAGTCAATAAACTCTTGCTTGAACCGAGAGTCGTTAAATATCAAGCGCCGGCCTCCAAGGTATGGTATGGAGCTCGTTGCTCCCTTGGCCATATCGAACGCGTTTGATGCCATCATTTTGTAACCGAATTCTTCAAGTTTGTGTTGATTCTTTGGGTGATACATGATACTAGTAATACTCTCACTACTGTACAGAGCAGAATCGTGCTGGCCACTAAAATGGCAGTATTTGCAGAGCCAAAACTTGTTCTCTCCATCGGTTGTGAGCTGCGCACCGTGTTTGTAGATTGGCGAGGGCTGGGTTTTAGAGTTGAGGGCCCGCTTATGAGGCTGACGATATCGAATCGACGGCAACACCTTCCTTTCATAGCGAATTTTGTCCCAGTCAATAGGGAAAGGGCATTGAGTAGATGTCGGTAACTCCCTTTCGAAGGTGGCAGCAGTATTGGTGGAAACGGAACTTGGGGTCTCTATGTTTTCTAGGTTATAGCTAAGGGATTCAGAGGGAGTCCTGGGTAGAGGGGAACACGTGGATCCTCCACGAGGCAGAAAAAATGGGTGGGTAGGCATGTTTAGCCTAGAGTCTGGCGGCTTCGTACATAGAGGCTGCAGGCGTGAGAGTTTTCGACAGCAAATCTCAAGAGCGACAATTTCCAGCCAATTAGAACATCCAGGCTAATAATTCTTCCTATCCCGATGCCCAAAAAAACTCCAGTCGCCCACCTCCTCTACAAAAATGCCTAATGCGGTAAGGTCGTCAACCAACTCCGAGTTGACTCGAGTAATGTGAAAACCCTTACTTGTGGTTGTTTGGATAGACGTTTACTCGTGGTTGCTTGTTACGTAATCAACCAAAGTCAACCAACCAAGCCAAGTTACTTGGTTATTGGACACACTGTGTGCGATGAGTGTGGAGGCATGCAGAGAGTGATAATATTGCTTTGCTCACACAGATCCTGGAAGGCGAGTGACTTGTGGCTCTCGTGGCCATCAAGGATAAGCAGGCGGTGACTACCCACTGTTCGAGCTTCTGTATGCTGGATAAAGTGCTGTAACTAGGCTAGACCAAGCTCGTTCGTTGTCCAACCGTTGTTACTAACACCTATCCTCCAATCTTTTGAATTGTTGTGATACCAGGCCTAGTCGTGATGCTTTGCTTTGAGGATAAGGAATGGTGGAATTGACCACCCCATCGCGTTGATGCCAGCGATTAACGTCACCTACTCACAATCGCTAGGTTGAACTCCAAGTGGCTTGAGGCGTCTCTCAGAGGCTGTTACTACTTTAACAGACCCTCTGACGCCCATCTGGAAGCCAGT